TAACTATAATAAAGTAGCTTTTTTTGAAGATTTCTGACCAAAACAAAGTCTGGAAACCTAACGTGATATATCTTTTTCTGATTATTGTTGAAGAGACAATCTTGGCATTACGTTATTTTTATGAAGTGTTAAGAAAGAATAGATGTTCCCTGAAGATTTTTTCGTAAGGTTACAAGCAAAAGTTACACAAAACTTGAAAATTGTAGTGTAATATAAAACTCATACTCACCTAGACTGGGACTTCCTCGTATGGCTGAACCCATTGGATCCTTTAGCCATGATGCTGTACAGCTTGTTCCTGTAGTCATCAACAGACATCTGCTTGTCGTCACGTAACGGCAGAAGCACATCCGAAGGTAAGGTCGGCTCGTCACGCTCACGATGAAACCTACACCAAAAAAATTTTTGCAAGAAGGCTACAAAATGAATAAATCACTCTCCAAATGACAGTTTAGGTTTTATATTGCTACTGCAGTAAAATGTTACAGGAATGGTTTTAAGATATAAAGAACAAAAATTCCTCAAAATTGATGATTGAGTTCGATTAATCGTCATCATTACCCCGAAAAAATTTAGTTTAGCGCGTATTTTAGATCCTATTTATGTCAGGGACTTTATTTGGTCTCCCAAAGTATAGATTTATCAACCCTTAGTCATCTTAAGTGTCCAATTACAACTTTAAGTGTAGCAATCAGTGGTCAGTTATTACTAACTTGGCAACATATTCATGGTCCAGAGCCCTCTCCGCGCTTAGCCTCTTCGCTGGATTGAAAACCAGCAGACGATGTACCAGGTCTGCAGCGTCTCTCGGCGCACAAGACAACAAACTAACCAGCGACGCGCCACCAGAGTTCGATGATGCTTGCTCGCGGATCAATGATGACCCGTAGCCACTGCATACCGATGTTATATCTGACAAGTTACATGACCTGTAGTTTTAAATTGCCAATAGACTGACTGTTTAACAAATCAGTTGACTAGTTCATGGACCAGTCGACCAATCACTGGATTGGTTCATTGATTTTTTCAGTTTTTTTTGTTGTTTTGATCACCTGTTTAGTTCTTTTATGAATTCATTCAACTTTAACTGATTGGTGGACTGACTAATTGCTCGACTTTCCATTGGTCGACTAACCGTGGGTTTCTGAGACAAAAAATTCTGTATAAAATATCGTAATCCCTATCATTACCTTTAACCTAGCTTTCGGTCATTCACCACCGAAAAGTACCATTCATCATGACAATCTATTTATCACTCAACTGTTCTGTCTTAGTCAGTCTACAAGTCGAAGACATACCTTCTACCGAAGGTCTAGGCAAGGCTGACATGATTCTTTCAATCTGGTTAACAGTGGAGGTGCCTGGGAACAGCGGGCTACCTGTCAGCATTTCGCCCAAGATGCAGCCCAGAGACCACATGTCGATACCCTTTGTGTAGCTGTAGGAAAAGCATTACATTTGAATTTAAAGCGCGAGTCAACGAAGACACGTGTCACTTACAACCTAAATGGCGCGAAATTAAGATAGTGAATAGGAATATAATCATGTATTACATTGAAATCATAGACTTTTGTGCTAAGATGCCACCACGAAGTCAATCTGTAGTTTTTTCACTGATAACATACAGGGTGAGTCAAAAAAAAGAGTGAGTCGTTAGCACTGAAGTGTTAATTATAAAATTTGGTTCCTTACTTCTTACTGGCAATCAATATCTCAGGGGCACGATACCACCGTGTAGCCACGTAGTCAGTCAGGCAAGGGTCTGCACCCTCCTCACCACCCGAGTACACGCTGGAGACAGATCTAGCTAGGCCGAAGTCCGCTAATTTCACCCTGTATCCAAATAATGGTACTAATATAGATTTTGCATAATTACTTTTCAAAATAAGTAGTAAAAGAACATCAACAATGGGTAACACAAACCCAGCAAACTGCGAAAAAAGTTACTTATGTTAGTTTACGTTTTTGATGTAAAATGATCATTTTATCTCGGCCTTTTTTATCCTTAACTACAGATTGTCTATGCATAAGATATTCTATCTATTGACAGAAATATAGTCTATGGGCTGTGATCGCTTTGCTATTTCGACTTATTCAGGTAGCCGCTTGCTTGTTTGCCCTCGTACCTCCAGATAAGTCGAGTTATCCCGACCTTTTTTTTTCATATAAAGAGGTGGCAAACGAGCGGCCACCTAAAATCGCTGAAAAAGCGAAGCGACTCTTGCCCATAGACATACGCAATTGTATATGCGTTGCCTACCTTTAATCGAAAGATGAGGGGATGCATAGAAAGAAAATACTTTCCCTTCCCATGTATCCCCTCATCCGGAAAGTCCACTTCCACTTCCCATCCATTCCTTATAAAAAAAAGGGTGGGAAGGGAAAGAGGACTAAATTAGGTCTCCGGGACGCACACTCATCAGTCTGTACGCGGAATTGCTTCTACTTCACGCCTGTCTTCTGTGTGGTCGTAGTATTTACCGCGCGAGCCGGGACAATTCGTGCGAAGATGTTAAAGCAGGCCGCTGCTAAATATTCATATTATAAATGCTATTGTTCCTTTTACCATACTAACCTGCATGCACTATCAATCAATACATTACTAGGCTTCTGATCTCTATGTATCACATTTCCCGAGTGTATATACTTTGTGGCTTTCAGCATTTGATACATAATATACCGCTTATGTATATCCTTTAGGATGTTGCCGCGTTTGATCACGTTGTGTAGATCTGTCTCCATGTATTCGAATCCAAGGTATATATCACGATTGTTTAGCGCCCTAAAATGATAAACGAATCGATATTAAACTCGTTTAAGGTTGACTAAAATCATTCGTAACTATTTGAGTCTACCTACATATTTTTTTAGTAAGCTTAAAATGTATACTAGCTGTCGCCCGAAACTCCGTCTCCGCTGAATTAAAAAAAAACTAAATAAGTACCCTATGTGTTTTTCCAGACGATGTTTTACATCTGTGCCAAATTTCAGGAAAATCCGTTCAGATGTTCCGGAGATACTTTCAATCAAACCTCCATCCATCCATCTAAACATTCGCATTTATATAAAAAATAAGTAGCGAATGTGTTCTTCCCGATTATGTTTTATATCTATGACAAATTTCATCGAGGTCCACGCAGCCGTTTCAGAGATACTTTTCTAACAAACATCCATCCATCCATCCATTCGCATTTATAATATTAGTAAGATTTAATATAAATATACTTACTTGTGAATGCTGTGTAATTTAACTATATTAGGATGATTACGAAACGATTGCAAAAATATTATTTCCCTAAAAGTTCTCTGTGCATCTGTTTGGTTACGAAATGCGTCGAATATCTTCTTTATAGCCACTACATCTTTGGTCTTCTTGTCAGTAGCCTTCCATACAATACCATAAGCTCCCTTACCCAATCTCTTCTTGATTTCAAATCTTTTTAAAATATGTTCATCAATTTCTGACATATTTTTCTCTGGACTTTTTTTCTGAGTTTGCTTTTGGCATTCTCTTTTTTTTTGTTCTTCCTTTTTAATTGTTTGGCTCATTTTGTTATACCGCCAACTTGCGTAACGTTATTCTAAAATCGGATTACGATTTGATATGTACATAAATTGTGAAACGCTTTGTCGGTACTGATGAATTTAAATTAGACCAATGGTATAAAACTAATTTGAATAAAGGACAAATGCTTGACAACTGTAATTTGATACGATATTGATTATATTGTCAAACCGAGCAACCATAATTGATGAATTTTTTACACGAAGTTCTAAATGTTAAGGTATAATAAGTAAAGATTTTAATATAATATACGTTTAATTGATTTTTATACTTACAAATTATGAACCTTTCACAATCACCATTTTACTTTATATAATATTAAAGGATGTTTATAATTTCAATTATACGACATTTCTTTTACAATTGTGATTCATTTGTTTACGCTTCCCAAACAACACCATGTTACCATGACAACCGAAACTGTCAACTGTATTAATGGCATTGGTACAGATTATAATTTAAAAAAAATAACTAAAAAGACTTTGGAAAAAGCAAGGTATTTGTGTATTATCACGGATTTTCATTTGGTGCAAGTCCCAACCAACCCAAACTTAGTAATTAAAGAAATTCAAGGCGACCTACTTTTCACGATGTTACATTTACCGTAAGAATGTCAGATAAATGTACATCATCATCATCAGTTCACTACACGTCCCCACCGAGGGACTCGGAGCCTACCCTAAGTTAAGGGTAAATAGGCCATAGTCAACCACTCTGGCTAAGTGCGGGTTGACTTCACACATATCTTCATCTCAGATATGTGCAGGTTGCATCACGATGTTTTCCTTCACCGTAACAACGTCGGATAAATGTACATATGTAAATCGAAATTTTAAAACACATTGATACCTGGTGCGTTTTGAATCGACCTGCAGATTACAAGTCAAGTGCTTAATCCCTAAGCCACAGACACTCTTGAAAAGCACACATGTAGAACATAATCTGGAAGAACACATGTCGCGGCCGACAGCTTAAGTATTCTTACAGCGACAGCTATTAGCAAATAAAACAACTTTAAAACTTTTATTGAATTTTATTTAAGCTTAAATATTTAAACATTTTTCATAAGTTTCCACTTCCGAAAGACATGTACAAAAACATATTCTCATCTCTCTCAATCTTTAATCAAAAAACAGAGATAACAATATATTTTTATAAGAATGGTAACCAGTAAACGACAAATACTGTAAGACATGATTTAAATATCATAAAAATTTAATTATTAGTAGGAATTGCTTTACATTGATATAACACTTATTCTATTAAATATCACAAACATTAAAACATTTAACTTAAAAATATAAAAAGCACCAAAAAAATTATAAAAAAATAAAAGTAAATGCGACAAAATAATCTACAATCTCTCATAAAATTCATTATAAAATAAAATTAACAATAATATCATTTTATTTAAACACTAATATACTTATTGCTTAATATCTATTAAAATGCAAAAGCAAATTATTCAATTTCATAAGTACAACAACTTTTCTTTTAATTTTTGAACATTATTGGCATACTAACGAGATATCTAAATGCATAAGACTGCCCTTCTAAAAGCTTCGAAGGCACAGGACAATTGATACAGTGCTATTCAAACTTTATGGAGGCTCGAAAGATTGTAATACTGCTAGAAACAGAATTTTAGGTATTAGCAAGAATAACAAGATGGGGACAAAGGGTAGGAGATGTCATTCCTCCATCTGCTATTAATCCATCTTACGCCATACAAACATACATTTGAACAGCGAATTTGCAAAAAGAATCATCAAAACGTGTCATTAAATCTAGACATTTTTGCCTGTAGTGAATTTAAATTGTCTATTTGCACAAACTTTTTTTTTTTATAACAGAAGGGGGCAAACAAGCAGCGGGAACACTTTGCCTTACAGTTAACTCCAAGCTACCATAAAGTTTGAATCTAATATTACAATAACTTAAGGTAAGGGAGGATGTATTTTCTTCTTTTCCTCAGCGTCCAGCCGACCCTGGTCCACAGAGGAGGGGGACGGCAGGCCACAGGGTAATTCCAGCATGTCAGACTCATGAGACATGATGTGCTCTGCTTCCACTGTTGTAAACACAAATATACTTTGTTTCAAAGATATCACTTACAGAATGTTGCCATAAAAGTAAAAGTTTAGATGAATGTTTGTTACAACATATCTCCGGAAGAACATATAGGCTACATAGTAATTTTTTTTAATTCTGCGCAGTCAAGTCTGCAAAGTCATGGATGCTAGCTAGTATTTAAACAATAAGATAAAAACAATAATCATCACTTACTTCTAATTCTATGCAATTTGTTGCCATATGCAAGATCCCAGTAGTATAAATTGACAAACATTAATGGCAAAAGAGGTGCCAATAGATAAGTCCTTTTAGTTCGTCTGAAACTAAATAAAAAACATTGACACTACCATACTATTGCATAACTCTACTCATAGTGTTTTTAACTAAATTTATTATACTACGGGTAGACTCCGAGCCCCTCGGTGGAAACATATAGTGAACTGATGATGATGATACTTTTATTTGAAATTCATTGTAAATTATATATTTCCTTATAGTAGTTGTAGTAAAAATTAAACAATACAACTCTGGCCTTAAACCAGGTAGGCAGAGATTACTGGTTTCTATATAGTATGGTTCTGGTACCTGGCATGTGCAGCTCTTTCCTCATTCATCATCATTAATCAACATCAATACTTAATGTATAGATGTACAAATGTTGAAATAAATTTCAGATATTCTTATTACCTTTACCTAATTTATAATTTTTTTTTATTGCATAGACACACACAATATTACATAACAGTTTAGTTTACAAATTAAAAAAAAAACAAGTTTCAGAAATATTTTCACACATTAGTTGTTACCATTCCAAATAAGCTTGAAGCTTGTGCCTGGACATGGTTATCTACTAGACCATTAGGCTATTGTCGCTTGATTTGATGTTATATCAGTGCGCACCCGCTTACAAATTTTAGGTGTTGTTATAAACTAAAGAAACGTTACAGTGATGTTAAAATAAAAAATAAAAATAAAAAATGGAGAAAGTAGGGAGAAAATACTACAAAAATATTAAAATATTAAGGCCAAATTGTAAATAATTCCTCAGTCTCTTCATAGGTTAATTCCTGCAAGTAGCTTTTAACTGCTCTTTTGCACTTTAGATAAGGAAGGGGATATACATTACAAGCTTTATTGATGGTGTTGTAGAGGTGGCAGCTGATGCTCGGGTAACTACGGCTTGCCAAAGCAGTTTTGGTTGTGACAGAAGGGCAAACCATATATTTACGTCTTTAATTTAGTTTCACTTCCATTCTATTTCAATCTAGATAGTAGCGACAATAAGCAGCATAAATTTACTTCAAAAGCTTTTTAGTAAGGAGGCACTTAGATTAATTTTTATATTATGAAACAATTGTATTCACTTACCCTGTAAGTAAACCGGATGCTGCTGTTATATTGAATGCAGAGAACCACAGAAATATATCACGATTTCTTGCTATTTGAAGTGCTCTTTGTCTTTCTTGCATTTGATATTGTAGTTGTATTTGTCTCTCCATCTAAAATGAACTTGTATTAGGTTTAAATAAATGACATAGGAATATTTGACAAAGGAAAAAACTTACCGAAATTTCATTGAGACTTTGTAGAAATTTTTCATTTTTTTTATAATTCTCTTCTAAATTAATTGAAATAAATCCTCCCATGTTAGTTAATTAATTGGTGTGCTTTCCAATGTTTATTTAAGATTATTATTCACTTAAACTTACTACACTTATCAACAACAGTTAAATTGAGGTCTAATAACAAATTTGGTTTACACTGGTATATAAGTAAATAAAGCTGATAAAATGTATTTATTTCAAGAATTAGATTAAATTATGACATTTGATTAGTCAATTTGTCATCAGTGCTGCCAATGAAAAGATTTATTTGGGTTTATTAGTCGTCAGTAGAGTGTGTAAAAAGCCTTGTTGGTTTGGAAGAAGATCAACTGTGGGCTCGTAGCTAATTAAATAAAAAGAACATTTTTAACATTTTCTTAAGCTTTTTGAACATTAAATTGACTCCAAAACCGTTAGTGACTCATACCTAATGGCAACATTATAGTTAATAACAGCACAAAATATTAAAAAAAATCTGTCAAAATTCGCGCCAAGTAAATCCACCATCAATCTTTGCGACAGAAAAATTTTGTTGATATTTTGTAACAAGTTTCTTTAAAATGGGTATTTTGGGTTTATCCAAGTTAATTGCTGACATAGCACCTCAAGCTGTTAAAGAAATGGAAATTAAAAACTATTTCGGTACTTTACATTTCACCGGCTTATTGTGGTTGTTTTTTCCGAATTAATTACTGTATTTATCGTAAATTACAGGAAGAAAAGTGGCTATTGATGCCTCTATGAGCTTATATCAGTTTCTAATAGCTGTGAGAAGCGAAGGTATGTAATTTATATCATTGATTTTATACCATCATTCCAACCAACCTTGTAACCTGACAAATTTAAATTTTAGGAGCGCAATTAACATCAGTAGACGGTGAGACCACTTCACATCTCATGGGCACCTTTTACCGCACGATCAGGCTAGTCGAAAACGGCATTAAGCCTGTGTATGTATTTGATGGTAAACCACCAGATATGAAGTCACATCAACTGAACAAAAGAGCTGAGAGAAGAGAAGAAGCTGAAAAAGAATTGCAGAAGGCTACTGATGCGGGTAAATAAATTTTTCTAATGATAGAATTAAAAACGCATCATATTTGTAGTCACTATCTAATTTAAGCTAAAAATTTAAAGACTAATTGTGGGTAGATTTCAATAAAATTGAAAATGTGAAAAAGAAAATTGTGATATCATTTAAACTATTGTATCATGTAAACTACTAGAACTAGAAAAAATTTAAATAGTAAATTTTCGTGAATTTTGCATTATGCCCTTGAAATCAAACAATTGAACTAAAAATAAAATGACTTTATGCTACTTATTGTTTTATTGTAGGTGATCAAGCATCAATAGAAAAATTCAATCGTCGTCTAGTCAAAGTAACCAGACAACACGGTGAGGAAGCGAGGGAGCTTCTAAAACTAATGGGTGTGCCGGTAGTTGAGGCACCTTGTGAAGCTGAGGCACAATGTGCTGCTTTGGTAAATATGACATTCATAAATCTGTTAAAAACATAGGATCATTAAAGATAAATCTGACTAAAGTCAAAGTTTGGTAGCATGAAAGATTTTTAAAAGCTTAACAACCAACCCAATATCAAATTCAAAGATCTTTGTCAAGGCAACCAACCTACGGTCAATGTTGACTATTGTCTGGTCACCTCTAACTTAGGGAAGGCTCAGAGCCCCTCAGTGGAGACATACAGTGAGCTGATGATAATGGATTACATATCTGCATGATTGTTCCATCTTACCTTAGATTTTATGTCAAAATTGTGTCAGTTAATAGAACAAAAAAAAATCTAAGCTGAAATATTTTTGGCGAGCATTGTAGCAATGGAAGGCGGAGACCTACAGACAAAAAAGAAGTATTAATTCTTCTTGAATTAAAGTACTGTCTGTCATCCCTCTTATTCTCTTTGAAAGAATGAGAGATGAAGTGAGAAAGCAATAATTTTGTCTATACCTTTTTAAATGCTAGGTAAAAGCTGGTAAAGTATTTGCAACAGCTACAGAGGATATGGATGCCTTAACATTTGGTGCTAACGTATTGCTACGTCATCTCACATTCTCCGAGGCAAGGAAGATGCCTGTACAGGAGTTCCATCTGGATCAAGTGCTTAATGGACTGGAATTGAATCATACTGAGGTAAATTTGATTTATATAGTCCTAGTATAGTGTTTATTGGTCCGGACAAACAGCAATAAAGTTCCGGGACTCTATTAGTGTTGGCTTAGTGAGAGAATTCAGCACTAAGGGACAGCTTATATAAGAATTAAAAACAAAGAAAAGTAGTGAGAAAAAATGTTGCATAAAGAGATATAAATTAACTAATCTTACTTTTATTATAAATGCAAAAGTTTAGATTGGTGGATGTTTGTTAGAAGATATCACCAGAACAGCTGCATTTGCTAACTGAATTTGAGATAAATGTAGTAGTAAAAATCAAGTTTGTTTTTTTAATTCGGCACAGACTTCCTTCTAACAGTGGTAGAGCCCGCTTTAACATCTTCGCACAAATTGTCCCGGCTCGCCCGGTGAAATACCACAACCACACAGAAGACAGGAGTCAAGTGGAAGCAATTCCGCGTTTCGTCTTATGAGTGTGCGTCACAGAAGCCTAATTTAGTCCGGTTACCCTTCCCACCCATTTTCTTATAAGGAAAGGATGGGAAGTGGAAGTGGACTTTCCAGATGAGAGGATGCATGGAAAGGGAAAATATTTTTATAATTTTAATAATTTTTTTAACTGTTTTCAGTTTATAGATCTGTGTATACTCCTTGGTTGTGACTACTGTGGTTCCATCCGTGGTATTGGGCCGAAGCGAGCTATTGAATTAATCAAACAACATCGCTCCATAGAACAAGTGCTGCATAACATTGATACCAAAAAGTATCAACCACCTGAAGACTGGGATTTTACTAATGCTAGGAGATTATTTATTGAACCCGAGATTACTGATCCTAAAGATATTGAGGTAAATCTAATTTGTTATTTAAAGATTTTTTTCTAGTAAAAGTAATGTTAAGTAAATATATATTATATAAAACTATTAGGTAAATAATTTGTGATAGATTACTTTGTTATAAGAAAACTAAATAAATTTATCATTAATGTTTTTCTATTAAAAAAGATATGAAATAATTTTTTTTTATATTTGGATTAGTTAAGCTTTAATAATGCATTCATCATCATCAGCTCACTATTCGTCCCCACCGAGGGGCTCGGAGCCTACCCTAAGTTAAGGGTGATTAGGCCATAGTCAACCACGCTGGCCAAGTGCGGGTTGACTTCACACATATCTTTGAATTTCCTCACAGATATGTGCAGGTTGCATCACGATGTTTTCCTTTACCGTAAGAATGTCGGATATATGTAAATCGGAAATCGAAAAACACATTGGTACATGGCGGGATTCGAACCCAGGACCTGTAGATTGCAAGTCAAGTGCTCGACCACTGAGCCACCGACGCTCAATAATGCATTATCTGAATACTAATTGCGATATTCAATTGCTTAGTGACCCCTAAGTGTGGTATGAGAAATCTACACTAAGGCTCTACTTAATTATTATAAAGAATGTCATGTAACAGTAACATCATACTAATATAAATACAAATGTATGGATGGATGAATGTTTGTTAGAAAGTATCTCCAGAACAGCTGCATGGATCTCCATGACATTTGGCACAGACATAGAACAGTCTGAAAGAACATATAAGCTACTATTTTTTTTATTGTCATAGACAAAATTCATTCAGCAAGTATTAATTTTATTCCAGTTGAAATGGACAGATCCTGATGAAGATGGTTTAGTCAAGTTCCTGTGCGGTGACAAACAGTTCAACGAAGACAGAGTACGGAATGGAGCTAAGAAACTGTTGAAAGCGAGGTCCGGTACTACACAAGGAAGGCTGGATGGATTCTTTAAGGTACAAAGTAAAATGCTTAATACTTAAGATCAAATTTCATAGGAAGTTATCACCATAAAAAGTGTAATTTAAATTATTATGACAAGTTTTCAATCCAAATGCATTCTGAGAAAGAAAGGTTGTTGGGACCTTCAAAGTAAAGTGAATAGGCACTTACTAAGCTAGCGCGTACCATCTTTCGACCAAATCTCTACTAACACCAGGTGGGATCGTGGTCAAGCGCTGGCTTATCAAACGTAAAAAAAGGATTGTTTGCTGAATGGGTAGGAAATTATTGTCCTCGTCTTCGGTTGTGCAGTGCTTTTACCACAAAAGTTAGGGAGATTAAAAATTGGATAAATTTGGAAAATTTTTAAATAATACATTTATTTAAATAGTTTAGCTTAGATATCGCTTAGAAATGTTAAACAATCACTAAGCGAGACCTTTGCTTTTGATGTAGTATAAGAAATCTATACTTAAGATGCTAAAGTAACCTTTAAATTACTCCGAGTAGAATTGTAAGATCTAGGAATATACATGAAATCTTTTATACCAGGTTTTATCAACAACACCAAATCCTAAAAGGAAAGCGGAAGAAGACAAGAAAAATGCAGCAAATAAAAAAGCAAAGACTGGCGGTGGCAGGGGAAGGAAACCTAAGTAATTAAGTTAGTATTATGTTTATGTTAAGTAACGAATAATTTTGACTTGACAAATAGTAAAACTTTTACTTGAATGTTTCTTTACTTTAATCTTATGTAGAACTTTTTTTATGGACTAGATACTTAATAAAGGTGACAGGTTCACTGTATATTGTACTTGGTACTTAAAAGTCAGTAAATAGTGATTTAAAAAGTACAAGCTTTTGTCCGAATTAAAAAAAATTGTAGCCTATATGTTCTTTAAGACTATGTTCTATATCTATGTTAAATTTCATCGAGATCTGTTCAGCCGTTCTAGAAATACCTTGTAACAAACATCCATCTAAACCAGTCTTTCTCAAAATAGGCGATAACGCCCCCTTGTGGGCGCTGCAGGTCTCAAGTTGCGGGTTATAGTAAAAGTTTCCTTTACAATTCTCCGTTAATATACATATATAGGTAACAATAATTAATTAATTTAATTTGAAGTTATAGTGGTTTTTAAATATGTGAAAATATGGGGGCGCTATAAAAATATTTATTCTCAAAGTGGGCAGTAGACAAAATAAGTTTGGGAACCACTGTTCTAAACATTCGCATTTATAATATTAGTAAGATTGTTTTCAATACATTGATTTGTTTAGGTGACAACAATCACCAG